CATTTCTCAAGACTTGCTCAAGTTGTTGTCTCCCAAATTCACTCAATTCCAGTGTTGCCAATGTTTTACAAAGTACATTTTCTATGATTCTGCCACCAGAAGGACATTGTATGCCTGTACATTGTATAGTAGTAACAATAATAACATAAGTAAAACCAATAAATTATAAACGTATAGATGTTCTATTGGCACAGCGTCTAATTCTACCACAGAATCACCATTACTGAACCTGCTACCATCCAAGTATTCAGGAAAATTTACATCTGAATGTTTCGCTCATTTTCATCAAGTAAACTTGATATGATTCTACCATCAGAAGGACATTCTGTGCCTTGACTAAATACGTAAAAAGTAATAATAAGTAATAAAACTATGAATGTTATATTGGCACAGCGTTTACCTCTGTGACAGAACCGCTATTTCTCAAGACTTGCTCAAGTTGTTGTCTCCCAAATTCACTCAAGTGTTGCCAATGTTTTACAAAGTAAGTTTGCTATGATTCTGCCAAAAGAAGGACATTGTATGCCTGTACATTGTATCGTAATAAGTAACAATAATAACAAAAGTAATAAAAGCAATAAAATACAAACGTTCTATTGGCACAGCGTCTACTTCTACCACAGAATCACCATCTCTAAACCTGCTACCATCCAAATATTTAGGAAAATTTACGTCTGAATGTTTCCCTTATTTTTATCAAGTAAACTCGATATGATTCTACCATCAGAAGGACATGGTGTGTCTTGACTAATTGAGTTGACAAATGTTACTTATGGAAACAAGCGTGACTACCATTGTACAGAACTGCTTCGTTCCATTCAGTATTTCTACTTTGTAGATTCAACTTTTGGAAAAAATGTTGATCTAAAACAATGCTATAATTGCCGGTCTTAGGTTGTACTACAGCAGCTATACAGCAGTGGTGAGAATCTCGGCACTCGCCTATGGACGTTCTGAAAAACAAAAAGTTAGAATTATCAGGGATGAGCTGTGGAATGATTTAGTAAAGACTTGGTTTGTAACAGGAGCAATGATGGTCTGCCGCTTATTCTGATCGGTCCTTAAGCTGTGCTGTGTTTACTGGGTGGAAGGGTTTCAGAAAATAGTGAGGATACAATAAGTACCTGGAGCAGCCTGGCATATGAAGCAAAACGTCTTGTGGCATTCTTCGTCGTTCCACTTGTCTTTCTCGTTTTTAAGTCCGGAGTAAACGACGCAATCTTGGTTGTCCTCAAGGTTGTCCGGTCGTCCCTGCCCCCAGGAGTTGTACGGCCCAAGTGCAGACCCGTCCACCCACTCAAACGTTCCCTCTTCGTTCTGATCGTGCAGGCCGAACCAGAAGGGACAATCGTCGCGCAAGGAGTTGTACAGGGAGATGAGGAAGGCGTTGGTGTCAGCGTCTCGGGGCATGGCGAGGGTGCCGCCGTCTGCACGACAGGTCGCGGCCGCATCGCTGAAGGACTTGGGTGTGTTGAAGGCCTTGTAGCAGATTTCACGCCAGATTATGTAACCTTCGGGACAAGATGCTGGAAAAGAAGGTTTATATTAGCAACATATCATAGATGGGTCATATTGATATCATTATATACATGCAATAAATCTACCCCCGGGGATGAATTCGATAAAATTTGTACTACCCCCCCCCCTCACACATGTAATGAAATAGTGACCTGCATTACCTGTTTTTAAACAAATGACGTTTTCAAATAGACCAACATCAAGGGAAAACATAACAGATTAAAACGCAATTTACATTTACGCAAAGTCTTCTCAATCACGTGAAGACGCTGCTCCAAAGTGGCGGTTCGGTTTAACTCGTTGATCAGGTCACGCTTCAAGGCGTCAACAGTGGCGGACAGTTGACGCATGTTGTCTTGGTCGCGTTTCAATTCGTCAAAAGCCGTCGACAATTGCAATATTTCCTACAAAGGTATATACGTACTTCAGAATACCAAACGTAAGAAGCAAACTTACGAAAAACTGCAGAAAATTCTTTCTTGTCACCGGGTACAAAACCAATATCAGATAGTAAAGGACTTATAGGCATGCCAATAAGTGCATAAGTAAGGGCCTGGAGGACGTCCTCTCGTCCTCCAGAGGACGTGATAACGCATTGCTATCCTCTCGAGAGGATATCGGCCACAGCGCACGTATTATTGGCCATGGACAGCGCACCACGTGATTGCACCGCGTAACCAGGCACCGACTGGACGCTTTGGTGTTTGCTATACCCAGTATATACGCACGCATTTTGGTTAAATAGTCCGAAATCTGCAATTTTTGAGGTGGTGAAGATCGAGCAATTCACCTTCAGAGTGTGGACAGCTATTTGGACAAGTTCTGGGCAGTTTGTTCTCAGGTAAGGATGCCAAAACGTCATATAAACTTACGTAAACATACGGTCGGTGGGGAGGGGTATGGGTCTACAACCGTGGCTTTTTGCTGTTTGGGGGTAGGAAGTTTGTAATTTCTTTCTTCTTGTTGTGTATCGGAGTTCTGGTGGTCCAACGTCAATTTATTTTTTTTTAGACCGGAGCCTGTATCAAATATAAAGCCGAGGCGAACTGCCCCCCTCCCCCATGATCGCGACCCACATGGGTTTGCGGAAAAACCGATCCAGTCCAACAGGCGGAAAACCTACCCGGTCTGAGAAAAAGGTCTGCTTGGGGTCTAGGCCTGCTTTTATAGTCCAAATAACCACTATTCAAGAAACTTCACTGTGTTGAGACAACAGATATCACCTGAAGGTGTGGCCAAACACGTAAATTTGTCCATGCGCCCTTATTAGCTACTTCTAGTAGCTAGTACTAGTAACTGGACGGTGGTACCGCTGGACATCCCACTCGACAAAATCTCTGACTTGGAGTTTAAATTGCACCTCCATTATGACATGCTGTCTGGAAAATTGTTTTGTCACATGGATCTGACGTCATTCGAACAGAACATGACTTTAATTTGTGGCATTTTGGTCTACGCTGATTGGTCGATTGATGAGAAGTTTATTGAAAATCCATGTCCAAAGGCTAATTGCAAGTTACAAACCTAAAAGAACTTTGAAACAGAGTATAGAATAACTTCAAAATGTACACAATGAAATCTAATATATATGTCTAAAACTATGTCTGAAGGGTTTATGACTTCTCTTCTGTAAACCATGGAAGACCTAATGTCCCACCTTTTCTAATGTGGTTAAAAGAAGAAGAGTTTTTTGTTTGTCTGTAAGTTTTGGGAAATTGGGATAAATTGTAGAGGTAACCGGTTCGAATAGTCAACTCATGAAGGGTTACTAGTAATGCCCGGCCCAAGGTGTACCAGTATATGGTGAGATAATCTCTGGTCAACCACCAAAAAAAACACCAAGTGAGCGTATTGTGAACGACGTGTTATGAGGTGGTTATCGCACCTGACCAGAGATTACTAGTGTATCACTAGTACTATATACACCAAGGATAAGGCAGGACATTAATGTAATCATCATATATAGATTCAACTGACACAGTGATTTCACACCGTGGATTTGACACAAATTCATAAAATTCCTCCTTTGCCACAAAAACCTCTGTTACTTGAAACAAGATGGCATGGACAGAAAAATGGACCATTCACTGTAATCATCTGTATCGGTATAGCAGCGGGATAACCGCCATTCGGCGTGTGCACACTAGCTAATTATAACTCAGCTTCTTCTGTCCAATTGCTAATTGCCAAAAAAAAAAGAAAGCTCATTATTGAACTTCAGCCACCAAATTCCATCCACATTTTCAGAAAAAAAAAGAAAATTCCAGAATAATTGAAAAATAATGTTTGTCTTCCACCGACTCCACAAAGAACTCAAATATAACTACATGTTGTATTATAAGATTCATAGTCCCCATTCATATACCTAGAATGCATACTAGTAACCGGTTGAAGTCAGTCAGGGAAATAAGCTGGTCAAAACCCCATGCTCAGTGTACACTTGGGACGACCTCAGCTCCCCTATTCTATCTCCTGAGAAGAACGTCGCCTGGTCTCTGGCCAATATGTAAACCTTTACTGCAGATTTTTCTTGCAGCACATTGTGATATAATTACACACGTTTATGATCTTCGTCAAGCAAGAAGACAACTGCCCGGTAGTACCTGTTGACTTAGCAGCTGGATTTCCTAGACCTACGAATGTAGTCTTTCGTCCCATTCTCCTTGAATATAGCCTTGAGTTTCCCAATGTATGAATCCACCCACACACACACACACAATGTCCACCACACACACACACATATATACTACTCACTGTACATACTGACACACACACACACACACACACTACTGTACACACACACACGCACACATACTATTGTACACACACACACACATACTACTGTACATACACACACACACACATACTACTGTACATACACACACACATACTGTACACACACACGCACACATTATACTACTGTACACACACACACACACACACTACTGTACACACACACACACACACACACACACACACACACACACACACACACACACACACACACACACACTACTGTACATATAGAAATCCAGTATAGACCTTCTCTACTCTGCTACAGAGCAACATTGTAGCAAGGTTTGTCAAAATTGAAGATTCCACTATGATTTTGACTGTAGTGGTATCTGCCAAGGGATTTATTTGTTGCATATCTTAAGGAAGATCAGGCTGATAAATTGCTGCACTTAAATTTCCTTACTCCTATATAGAGAGGGGGGAGTAAATGAAGGCTACTGTTACACATTTACAATCACATCAACGTTTGCAAAATCTTCACCACGGGTCATGGAAAAGCATCAGATTCAGACATACTTTTGAGTTGCATACAACTTGTTCCCTCACAAGTCATATTTTCCAGTTTAAAATACTAAGTGTAATACATTTAGTGTTAATTTGTTTAGCCTAGTATTAAAGAATGCTGCAACATGGAGAATTAATATAAAATGTAACATAATAATAATGTTGTACAATGCCATCATCTATATTCTATGTTTTGAGCCACATTAATTATTATATATAACTCCACAACCGTCACACCTATAGCTAGCTTGTTAAGTGCAAAATAGATCCAGTCAGTATTTTAACCCCCTTGATTGCCATAAGGAAGATGATGACAGACTGTCATCAGTCATGAAAACATTGTTTGAGGTACCAGTTCATGTGCCTTCTTGTAACTGTCCTTCAATTTGTTTATTCCAATGTGCTGATTGATGTAAACATAATTCATGGATCATCAAGTGATCATTAGTTACATGTACTAGGTTTTTTATCACTATATATCATCTCCTTGCATGACAGAATTACATGTGCATGATATTATTATTACTCTGTTTTGATTGTAGAAACTGAAACTCATGATTAGCCCCACTGTCTGAAATCTTAGATTTTCATATTCAAAACATTGTCTGCCAGTGCATGTACTAGTCATTGAAGTAGGCGAGTGAAAAAATACAATGAAACAGGCCTAGCCTATATATCTTAGTTTTCTTACAACAACTTACTTGTACCATAGGAGCAACAGAGTCAACACATTACATACTAGACTAGTTTGTATCTAAACTGTGAGCCAGGAAGTTGTTTTTTTTTCACAAGAATTGACAGTACTGGTATCTTAAGTAATTATAATGTTTGTTCAGGTTGATTTTGATGCCAGGTTTATGTTTAACTCTAAGTACAAGAAGCTTGAAGCTGGTGCATGATTTGACATTCTTGACCCTCTTCCTGTCACAGGTGCCAGAAGTCAACATGCAGCTGAGCTGTGGATACCAGAAAGCAGACCACACTGGGCCACCTCAAAGTCCTGGCTAGCTACATGTAGGAACTGAGCTTTGAGAAAACAATGGCAATGAAAATTTGTGGAAACAAATGCAATTTATAGCACTGTCACAGGTGTGGATTATTGTCTTATGACTACTGTATGTGATCACATATTATTTCCCAAGAACTACTGATACTTGTAACCTTAAGCCAGCATTTTCATTGTCAGTTTTTGTATGAATATGAGCAGATTAAGACATTCTTCATACGTACATGTGTTGAGCGTGCCTTCTTACAGTTATTGTTATATATTCAATTATAGAAGGGGAAACATGTGCCATGTGACTTTGTACCCCTAAACGTTCCACCGAGATAGGTAATATTACTACAAAAATTATATAACATTCTGAATTAAGATGAACTAGTGTTTATTCCATCTATAATTGATAATGGTAGCTATTTGTGCAAACTTCTCTGATTGGAAAGTGCCTCACTGTCAGGTTCATGAGTTTTCTCGGAGAACACTACTCTCCTACTGCATGCATGTTTTGTGGACTCAATGTGTGGCTTGTGCCACAGAAAGTTGCCCTTCTGTACGTGTCCCCTACGCTATGAAAAAATCTGGCGAGAGCCCTGTATTCTACTTGTTCTCCATTAAAGGAGTACTAACCTCCAGAAGGAGGTGCTATATTTCGACAGGCATTTATTTTTGGAAGTGAAAAATGCATATTATTTTACAGTATACAATTAAATGTCCATTTTGCGCGCAAGTCTTGAAACGCATCGAATCCAGGACAAACTCTCCAAATACCCTCAAAACTATCCCAGAATACACCACGCTACCCCATTGGTGTCTATGTTTTAAACAAAAAGTGACGTTACAGACTTCATTTCGGGGGCGATAAGAAAAATTCGTACCGTTTTGTGTTCTTTGGTATCTTACCAACCATTGTCCTTCTTGGTGTCCTTATCGCCCCTCATTTATGCCGCAAATATTGACGATGAAAAAAACGGCGTAATCTAGTTATCCTTTCCATAAGTGGCGTAATCTAATTATCTGTTCAAGTAATACTTACATGCAAATAAGTTGAGAAAATCAAAACACGCAGGATGAAACTGGCTCCCACTGTATTCGACATCCTGATATTATAATATCCAAGCCACAGGTCAAGCAAAGTAAAGCAAGTAATTTCTCAATAATCAGCTTGTTAGTGTGCTTGTCTCCTATCATTTTCGCCAAAAAATGTGTATGTTGACCTGAAGTGTATGGGTATTGCGCAAGCCAGAGTTCCCGGATGTATCAATTGTGGTTCAGCATGGGGAAAAATGATATTAATATCACTTTACAAACATGCGCCGCGCAAGTCGTACAAGCAAAATTATGTAAAAAGTCGGCTAGTTATGTATTCATTGTAGCATGATGTATCGGAAAATAGCACTTCCTTCTGGAGGTTAGTACTCCTTTAAACACATGGAAAAACCATATGAAACAATAGGAGTGAGTGAATATACCATCAACATTACCAGAAAGTGGTTAGGTCATTTTACCTAAAAATCAGCTGACATACCTACATATGTCAAATGTATTATCTTATCAACACTTTTTTAAAAACTAAATATACAAATGTACAAAATGTATGTAATAGCCTTCTTCTAGTTGGGCAAGATAGCTGACTAGTTACAATGGTGCCTGCTATCCTCTGTTCTCACTTGCCCTGAGAGCAAGTCTTGTGCAGAAATCTTGTTGAAGCAAGTGCTTGATGACTTCCACTGTTCGCACACAGCTTCATGTTGTGAATGCTTTCCTCAAAGGCGAAGTCTGCCCGGTACTCCTTTANACACTTTTTTAAAAACTAAATATACAAATGTACAAAATGTATGTAATAGCCTTCTTCTAGTTGGGCAAGATAGCTGACTAGTTACAATGGTGCCTGCTATCCTCTGTTCTCACTTGCCCTGAGAGCAAGTCTTGTGCAGAAATCTTGTTGAAGCAAGTGCTTGATGACTTCCACTGTTCGCACACAGCTTCATGTTGTGAATGCTTTCCTCAAAGGCGAAGTCTGCCCGGTACTCCTTTAAGTTTATGGCCCTGGAGAAAAATAGAATGTACATATCTATTGTTACTAAGAATTAGCTTCTAAATTCACAAGAATTGTGAAATTAGAAAAAAAAGAATTGTGATGCAATGCATGTATTAATATTCTCAACTTGCCAGTTATCAAATATCATGCACAATTTGTTTAATGTTAAGTATGATCAAGGACATTCTATAGTATACAATATCCTTGGTTTGATGTTAAAAGTTTTGATCATAACCAATGTTTAAATTACCCTATACATCATTTCGTGTTGCAGTTACCTCTCGGGTATGAACTTGTAAATGAATAATATAAACTTAACGTAAATTGCATCTCAAAGATGACAAATTATGGAGACAATTTATAGCATTTGAAAATCAGGAAAACTTGAGTATACTAGTATTCTACTTTTTAGATAATGAATCTTTATACAAAATCAGTGATTTACCACTAGAATTACAATTACGTTTGCTACCTTGGCTATGTATAACTAATAGATTATTTGCCAAACCTGTTTATGTTACAGTAATTACAGCTACCAGCACTGTACCTGTATGTCTGCCCTCCCCCTTCACATGACAGGCAGAATGTTATTCAAGGTGCATTGTGAAAATTTCATAGTGTATCCGAAATATTCTGGCGCATTTGATTCTAACCTGAATGTGATCAGAGCTGTTTTCAATGTTATTGGAATGCAGTACATGTAAGAATCTCAATGCCACCTGTTTGAGAAATCTTTGTGTTTCTGGATATTCTTAAAATTATCACTGCAGCTGGATTCCAAATTTTTACATTTATGCTCATTCTTACATGTATGCCCAGCCTGACTGAGTGGAGACTGGATACCAGGTTATATTGAACAGTGAATTTTAACTGTAGTAGCATTACTCCATATCTAGCCTGCCATGCTGACCATGGAGTATGCTGGTTCTTGCTACATAGGTGCAACTTTGAGAAAAAAAAGGTGGAAAAATAGGTTTTGCCAATTGGTTTACATCCCGTGCAAAATAAACTTTTAAGTCTTATGATCAAATTTATATATACACTAGTATTTGGAAAAGAGCTCCCAGTATTTGTACCATAACAAGCATGCAGCTCTCACTGTCAGTTTTAATTTGGAGCAGATTACAAAATGTCACATTCCAATTATTCAACTACTAAATGGACTGACCCACAAAAGCTAGTTATCTGGATCGGGTTGGTGAAAAACCTGTCCAGTCTGGGAGTCTGAAAAACCTGTCAAAACAAAGGGGTCTGCATGGGGGTTTCGGACAATGCTTAATGCTAAATTCAGCAGGATTGGTGACATTTATGAATTTTATCCCCTACCTAATCACAAAGCTGATTGTTTTCAGCCAGTCAAACAATGGTATCCAAATCTAGTTACTCTAGTGGAGGTCTGGCCGAAAAACCTGCCTCTTCAGGTAGTTTATTTAATCCAAATGTTCTACCCTACAATTGCTTGTACATTGTGTTAGATCTGTAATCAGAAGTTGTAAGCTGAAAATCACTATTAAAAATTTCAGAAGAACATTTCCTTTTGGGTTGTGTACTCAAAATGTTTAATTAAACGAGATAGTAGAGCTGTGTATCTAAACAAATTATATGTACAGCTCTAGGAGATAGGTAAATCATGGAGGGGGGTATATTCAACAATTGGATAAATCCAATATTTCTTTGGGAAGTATAGTCAATCATTTGCCTTGCAAACTCAATCCATGGTTTGAAGGCAATATTATGTAAGATTTCCATATATTTTAAATGCCATTGTTAATCACATTTTCCTTGTGCTACAACTTGTTAGTATAATAGTATAAGCCTACCTGGGTTCATTTACAGAGTAAAAGATCAAATCGTTGCGCCACAAAAATGCATCGAAAGCTGACGAAGATACCCAAACAAACCTTTTTAGATGCCGCCTAAAAGTACAGTGGGTCTGGTGCACTCAGCACTTAGTCACCGGAAAAGCAAAATGGTGATGCTAATAGTAATACATGTATGTATGTATGTAAAATGACAAACTAGATGATAAAATTTCATATTTACAGTTTTGGCGCAAAAATTGTTTTTTTTGGTGTAATCCGACAAAAGTCTGCTCAGTTGCGTGCGTGTTAAAAATGCAGTTTTGATTTTGAAACAGCCAATTTGAAGCAATAAATTTAGTCGCTAATGGTAAAAACTTGTTTGGGGGCAGAAAAACAGTTGTATATAGCTTTAGTCATATGCCTGTGTTTTGGCTAGGTCAGAATTTAGGGCACCCCTAGCCCCTTATACGGCCTGATGCATAGAATGTTCCACTGGCAAAAATGACCCAAATTTCATATAATTTCACAAACCACTACACTTGGGTGCAAGGCACTCCACTGAAGTAAAAATACACACCTGTGTGGATTTAATCGTTGTTATCTTTATCTGTCAATATTAAAGTTCATGTTGCGCGGGTTTTTGGTAAGACAAACTATTACAAAAGGTGTGTGTGTTGGCGAATGGAACATGGGCCGAAATTAGTACCCCTCCTGTTAGCCTCCATATCCCCTTTTCATGTGCAGCCACACCTATCTGTCTGTATCTGTATCAATATAACCAGTATAACCGCCTTTCGGCGTGACACACCAGCTTCGCAGGCACGCAGCACGGCGGCAGCTGGCTACACATTACACCGATCGACTTGTTACACCTAACCCTTGAACATCTAACTTTTCTTCTGTCTTCCAGTGATACCCACTGTAGGTTACTTTTCATTTCTGTGACACTAGCACCCCTTTCATGGTTCTGTTCATACAGAATCTTGCAGCTTGATTCTGTACCCTTTTCAGTTCTTCTTTATCTTGCTTTGTACATGGATCCAACCTGCACATCATATCTGTTTTCTCAACACAATAAAGTTTCTTTAATTGTGCTTATTTGGATTATAAAAGCAGGCCTAGACCCCAAAAGCAAGCAGACCTTTTTGTCAGACAGGGTAGGTTTTTCCGCCTGTTGGACTGGATCGGTTTTTCCGCAAACCCATGTGGGTCGCGATCATGGGGGGAGGGGGGCAGTTCGCCTCGGCTTTATATTTCATACAGGTTCCGGTCTATAATAAAATAAATTGACGTTGGACCACCAGAACTCCGATACACAACAAGAAGAAAGAAATTACAAACTTCCTACCCCCAAACAGCAAAAAGCCACGGTTGTAGACCCGTACCCCTCCCCACCGACCGTATGTTTACGTAAGTTTATATGACGTTTTGGCATCCTTACCTGAGAACAAACTGCCCAGAACTTGTCCAAATAGCTGTCCACACTCTGAAGGTGAATTGCTCGATCTTCACCACCTCAAAAATTGCAGATTTCGGACTATTTAACCAAAATGCGTGCGTATATACTGGGTATAGCAAACACCAACGCGTCCAGTCGGTGCCTGGTTACGCGGTGCAATCACGTGGTGCGCTGTCCATGGCTACTCTCCAAGCAGAGGTTTGGGTTTTGAGGGTATTTTTTAGCGTGTTTTTAGGCTTTTTTTTATCGGGGTTTCTCTTTTGCACTGAATTTTTGGAAAAAAATTCAGTGCAAAAGAGAAACCCCGATAAAAAAGCCTAAAAATACCCTCAAAACCCAAACCTCTGCTTGCAGAGTAGTCCATGGCCAATAATACGTGCGCTATGGCCGATCTCCTCTCGAGAGGATAGCAATGCGTTATCACGTCCTGTGGAGGACGAGAGGACGTCCTCCAGGCCCTTACTTATGCACTTATTGGCATGCCTATAAGTCCTTTACTATCTGATATTGGTTTTGTACCCGGTGTTCTTGTACCCTCCTTAAAAGCAGAATGAGTATAAGAAAAACAGCTGAACAAAAAGCTTTCTGGTATAAGACCGTTACCTGTTTGTTGCTGAACGTCAGAGGGGCGAGTCCCACGGCGCACAAGCTCAGTAGCACGGCGATGCCGGCGGCCAGACAGCTGCGGCGGGCGCGGAGGAATCTACAGACACCACGGCGGCCGATCGCTCCACCCGGACACGCGCCATCTGGTAGGAAAAAACATGCTTCGCTCGGGTGATTGTTTACTAAATGTTAATGAATGAATACACTAGTTTCATGCCACACCAACATACAAGCACGTCCCCACACGCATCACACACACACACACACACACACACACACACACACACACACACACACACACACACACACACACACACACACACACACACACACTCACATACACACACACATACATACATACATACATACATACATACATACATACATACATACATACACACACACACACACACACACACGTGTGGTCATGATCAACGACGCTGGGACAACAAACAGCGAATACTGGAAATATGTTGACGATCTCAACATGGGACACAATCTTTGCCTGAACTTTGCGAAAAAGGTTTGACAGTCGCCCCGCTTCTGCTGCTGGCTTCCTCCGACGCGGGGAGATCTGCACGGTCGGCAGCTGAGGAACTCGCTCCAGTACTCCCTAGAGGGACAAAAAGATACACCACGAGTGCGAAGCCAATGTTGGCTAAACTCCTCAACGGACTGTAAAATTGAGCTGTTATGAGCAGCCTTTCCTGTAAGAACTTCAATAACGCTGTTTTTTTGGCGACGCCTCAGGGGCGGAGGCATTTGTGTAAGTACTACGATCGCTTTGAAAGAATTTCAAAAATTGCATGAATGCATTCCCTAGGGAATTGGTTTTGAGGTAGCCTCCGGCCTTGTGGTCATCAGAACAAGCAG